CCCCCTGTGAGCCGTCATGTCAGCCTCGAAATGCAGTGTCTCACTCACTGCATTGGCGACATGAGGGTCCAGCAAAATGGAGTCATCAACACTGATCACTCGGTTCATGTGATCGGTGGCTCGGGGGTTCCACTCCGCGGCTTCCACTGTCGGCGGAGGGGAAAGGAGAGTCTGCTACTGCTGTTGCTGTTGTTGTTGTTGCTGCTGTTGCGGAGGAGCAGGGGGTAACCCACAGCCTCTCCCGCTTTGCTGCTGAGCGGGAGATGCCCTGGATCCTCTGCCGAGGCTATCGTGCCTATGCTTGACCCTTCTCTCCTCCTCTACTTGAGGATCCCGGTCGCGCACTTGACCCCGACTGAGAACCCTTGAGGATGGGGTGGAACTGGTCCCTGCAGATGGGGCGCCGCCGGTCGATCCTCGACCCCTCCCGGTAGCAAGGGATTGCCTCTGCCTCAGGAACCCCAGGTCAATGCGAGGCGTGCTGGACATCGCAACCTCGAGGGCGTCCTCGGCGTCTAGAGATTGAAGGACATGGAAGTCTGGCCACAAGTCTCCTCCCGAAGTCCCACCTCGGCGTCCGAAGGAACTACGTCCTCTCTGACCCCGAGCTCTTCAACAACTCCCTCTACCTCTGCCTCCGAAGCCCGATCAGGGTCTTCCTCCAAGTTTTCCTCGACCTCCTGCCTCGCCGCCTGATCGAAGAGTTCAGACCACCGCGAAGGCTCAAAAGGCTGAGGAAGCTGTGAAAATTTCTTATACCCGGGGGTGTAATTCAGCAGGATGTAGGCAGCCCGGCCGAACCCGTTGTCACCAGTAAATCTCCAAACCGTGACTAGGTCGGCAAAGTTCACCAGCGATCGAGGGGGAGGAGCTGTTTCCCGAGCAGAGATATCTGCACAAACAAAAAAGTAGTCATGAGAATCGGAAGTCTGGAGAACAAAATAATAAACCCGAAGGAACCGACGTACTTGTCGTTCTCCATTCCAGAGGGCATAACAAGCCGTTATACTCGGGACCAA